AAACGTGTCTTTTAATAACTATTAAGTCAGAAATTTAAGTGACTAAAAATGTCACAAATGTTAATTAAGTAACAAAATTTATTCAATCAACCTAATAATGAAAAATATCACTTTTATAACATTTTATCTGATCAACAAAATTAGTTATTTAATTGAAAATTTTCGTTTAAATTTTCGGGGTATTACAGCCCTGACACCCGACCTTCCACATCCAGCTACTGTTTTTTCATAGGGGATAACCTTTTGTCTCGGTCTTCTAAGTGCCATCCCATCATATCCTTTTCTAGTGTTGAAGCGAAATACCACGTGGTCGTCAATGTGGTTGCCGAAACATGTTGGCTTCGCAACCTTCTACTTGAGCTTCATTCACCGCTTCAAACAACATCCATTGTTTACTGTGGTAACATCAGCACCGTTTACATGTCTGGCAATCTGGTCCAACATCAACGAACAAAACACATTGAAATAGATATCCATTTTATCCGCGAAAAGGTGGCGTCTGGGGACATCTGCGTTTTACATGTTCCGTCTCGTCATCAGTTTGCTGACATATTTACCAAGGGCCTTCCCTACATTCTCTTCCAAGATTTCTGATCCAGTCTCAGCGTCCAGCCACTGCCCGCTTCAACCGTGGGGGCGTGATAATGCATGCATTGGTGTATACGTCAACTACACTGCATGCACGTAGACATAATACGAGAACAAAGGCACTGTAGTTGTAATTTATATATGTATATAATTACTAGATGACTCACATGTATATCAAAAGGGGGTCGGTTAGTCCGTTACATCCTTTTACGTAGTTTGTTTATGTTTAGCTACACTCTTAACAACATGCATGTATAAATACGGTGACCATTATCAATAAACACCACAGTTGATTTTCCAATTAAGAGCGTCACTGGCAATTTCCCAGATCTGCTTGCACCCTTCACCTTCGCCGAGCCATCACATACATAGCCAACTCACCTGGATTGAGGTCACGCAACAATGAGTTTGGAAGACCCCGTCGGATGGAATCTTGCCGTCGCATGGGCTCCCACGGTGAAGCCACACCAGTGCAAGAGCCTCGTCGTCGATGTGAAGGCAAGGCCCTCTTGTTCGCATTCGAGGAGTACCAAATCTTCAGAGTACCTTGTTTCGCATCTGAGGAGTCTGCCAAGGCTTGGAGCTGTTGGAATAAATCCGATAATACTTTAATCTTCATATTGAAATTATCTGGAGAATTGACTAAGCGGAAGCGTACCTGACTCCATTGGAGATGACCTTTAGAGATCCGGGAGACGGAGGCTAGGGTTTGCGTCTTCTAGTTGATACACACCCTCGGGATTATCTCTCTAGCGATGGGATGCAGAAAGACGGAATGGCGTGTTCAACTAGGGACCATAACCCCTTATTTATAGAGAGTGATTAACCCTAATCAGCCCATCATTGATTAGGTCAAGCCCATGGGTCTCTACACATTCGGGCCCTATACCTTATTAGATAACTTATTAGCCCACTTAAATTAATATCCATAGGACCACTAATTTTTTTTGGGCCTAAATATAAGATAGCATATAACATACAATTAAACCCAATAAATAATATACTGTGAATAATACATGTAGTATGAGTCCAATAGTCTAACAATCTCCCACTTGGACGACATACACATGTATACACACAATCCTTAGCATTGTATGTTTACTTTAGGAGTTCCGCAATTTTGCTATCAAATTGTAGTCATCTTTAATCAATCCGGTCCATTAATTATATCAACATAGGACCAAAGAAGTCTTTGTTATATTTGAATAACTAGACCCATCAATGATCACATATATTAATATAATAAACGACATGGATCAAGTATAGGTGTGTAGCGTGGAAATAACATAAAGTGTGGTCTTGAATAGAATGTCTATTTCCAACTGGTCCACCTTGGGATCAATAATATAACTGTATGAGTACAATAAAACTTTAAACTTTATTTCTGCAGAAAATAACATTAAAACTTGAGTTAACCAAATATAGAAACATTACAAACTCCCACTAAAACTCATAATCCTCAACTGATTTGACACCCATTTGAGAAACATGCTCATGAAACATTTTGGGTGGTAATCCTTTAGTGAGCGGATCCGCAATCATGGAGTTCGTGCTAATGTGCTCTATAGATAACTTTCCTTCTTGTACTCGTTTCTTAACAGCCTTAAATTTGACCCCAATGTGTTTTGCCTTGGTCAAACTACTGTTGTTCTTAGCATAGAGGACTGCTGATCTATTGTCACATAATAGCTTAAGTGATCTTTCAATGTTGTCCACTATGCGTAGTCCACTAACAAAATCTCGCAGCCATAATGCCTGATTGGATGCCTCATAACATGCTATAAACTCTGCTTCCATGGTGGAAGTAGCTGTAAGAGTCTGCTTGATACTCCTCCAGGAGATAGCTCCTTCAGCTAGAATATAGATGTAGCCTGAAGTGGATCTCAAGCTATCTTGACATCTAGCAAAATCAGAGTCGGTATACCCAATGATCTCAAGCTGATCCGATCTCCGATATGTGAGCATATATTCCTTTGTTCTCTGTAAATACCGCATGACCCTTTTGGCTGCTTTCCAATGGTCCATTCCCGGATTGCTCAAATATCTGCCTAACATCCCAACAATGTATGCCAAATCAGGTCTTGTACAAACCCGGGCATACATCAAACTTCCTACAGCCGAAGCATAAGGAATGTTCCTCATTTCTTTAGATTCAAAACCATTCTTAGGGCACTGCATGAGATTAAACTTGTCTCCCTTAGAAACTGGGGTATCTCCTGGTTTGCAGTCTTGCATACCAAACCTTTTGAGAACCTTATCGATATAGCTCTTTTGTGAGAGTCCAAGAACGCTTTTGGAGTGATCTCGGTGTATTTAAATTCCTAATACAAAAGAAGCCTCTCCAAGATCTTTCGTTTCAAAATTCTTTGAAAGAAATCTCTTAGTTTTGTGTAATAAGCCTATATTGTTACTAGCAAGCAGTATGTCATCAACATACAAGACCAGGAAAATATGCTTACTCCCACTGAACTTGTGGTATCTACAATCATCACTGACGTTTGGTTGAAAACCAAAAGATACAATGACTTTATGAAACTTGTGATACCACTGACGAGAAGCCTGTTTGAGCCCATAGATGGATTTCTTTAATTTGCAAATCATTTTCTTTGAATCTCCCGAAACAAAGTTTTCTGGTTGCTCCATATAGATCGATTCCTCAATGTCACCATTGAGAAATGCAGTTTTTACATCCATCTAATGAAGCTCTAGATCAAAATGTGCCACTAATGCCATTATTGTTCTAAAAGAGTCTTTCGAGGATACCGTAGAGAAATTCTCTTTATATCCAATTCCTTTCTTTTGAGTGTAGCCTTTAGCAACAAGACGAGCTTTAAACCTTGTAACATTGCCCTTTGAATTCCTCTTGATTTTAAATATCCATTTACAACCAATGAGTTTAATACCTTCAAGCAATGAGACTAACTCCCAAACGTCATTGTCACTCATAGACTTCATCTCATCTTTCATGGCATTAATCCATTCTTGAGAGTTAGAACTTTCCATGGCTTGACGGAAGTTGATTGGATCATCTTCTGCAAAACAAACATCTGATTCTTGTTCTTGGAGGAAGACAATTATTTCTTCCACCAATTCCCAATTTTCCTCATGTTCTTGGAGAAATACAATATAATCATCCGGAATTGCGCTTCTCCTCTCTCGAGTGGATCTCCTTAATGGCACCTCAGGTTCTCGAGGTTGTTGAGTTTGATCCTCATTAACAAATTCAGGTACTTGATTGGGGATGTTTTCGAGATTGTCATGAACTGAAGTTGTTTCTTGAACATCATTAGGAATAAAAATATCTTGATCATGTTCAATGACAACTGAAGGAAGAGTAACATGCTCTTCCTCAAAGACAAAATCTCTAACCTTATCTCCCCACCCCCCAAACTCAATATCCTCAAAAAACCGGGCATTACCTGTCTCAAAAAAAAGTCCCGGTAGTGGGATCATAAAATTTATACCCCCTTGACCTCTCAGAGTATCCTACAAAATAGCTACTAACTGTTCTTGAGTTCAGTTTCTTTTCATTTGGCCTATAAGGCCTTGCCTCAGCTGGACAACCCCAAACATGGAAATGATTTATACTGGGTTTCTTTCCAGTCCAAATTTCATAAGGGGTTTTAGTTGTAGCTTTAGTGGGAACTCTGTTAAGTATGTAAGCTGCAGTTTTCAGTGCCTCTCCCCAGAGTGAATCTGGTAAAGTAGTATGACAAATCATACTCCTAACCATGTCCTTCAATGTACGGTTTCGTCTCTTAGCAACACCATTCGTGCTAGGAGTTCCTGGCATGGTGTACTGAGGAACAATTCCACACTCCTCTAGGTATTTAGCAAATGGCCCTGGATGTTGTTCACCGGAACCATCATATCTACCATAGTATTCACCACCACGGTCAGATCTAACGGTTTTTATTCTTTTGCCTAATTGATTTTCAACTTCGGCCTTATAAGATTTGAACACGTCTATTGATTGAGACTTTTCATGAATGAGATAAAGGTAACCATAACGAGAGTAATCATCTATGAATGTGATAAAATATGTTTGGCCATTTCTACATGGTGTAGGGAATGGTCCACAAATGTCCGTATATCAATTCTAATAGATCCGAAGCTCTCTCGGCACCTAATTTCCGTTTGTTCGTTTGTTTTCCCTTAACGCACTCAACACAAATATCAGAATTTGAGGAGTCAAGAGAATCAAGAATTCCATCTAACACAAGTCTATGAATTCTTTCTTTAGAAATATGTCCTAAACGCTTGTGCCATAGTGAAAATGAATTCTCATTGGTTAATTTTCTTTTATTACCACGAGTACTTGCATGTAAAGTTTCATTATATGAGGTATTTATATCAAGTGAATATAGATTATCATAAACTGATAAAAGACCAGTATCAATAAGTTTTGAATCTTGAAATAGACTGAACTGACTATTTCCAAATGAACAAGAATAACCAAATTTGTCCAATGCAGAAATAGAAATTAAATTCCGTCTAAATGACGGCACAACAAATGTCTCTTTCAAATCCTAATAAAAACCAGTCTTTAATAATTATCTAAAAACACCGATAGCCTCAATTTCAACCCGCTTGCCATCATCAACATAGATGTATCTTTCACCATCAATTGGTTTTCAGCAGCTCAGGCAACCCTGCATAGATACACTTATGTGAGTAGTAGCACCGGAATCTACCCACCAAGTGTCTTTTGGTACCGAAATTAAATTAACCTCAGAACAAACAAGAGCAAGAGACATACCCTTTTTCGCACCCAGGCGTGGTACTTAGTGCAGTCCTTTTTCTTGTGATTAGTCCCTTTGCAAAAGAAGCATCCATATTTCTTAGTTTCTTACTTAGTTTCCTTATGATGCTTTCTGGGAGGCCCTGAATTTGCAGCTTCCTTAATTTTCCTTTTCTTGCTGCCCTTAGAGGTAGATGCCAAATGAGCACTTTCAGTCTTATCTTGTAACTGACTTTAAATTGAGTAAATTGAGAAGGAAGAGAGATCCAAACTAAATACACAAGCAATTCCTCAGGTAAAATGAGCTTTAGTGCACTTAGTTTTGAAGCAATGTGAGACATTTCCAAAATGTACTCTCTTATGTTCCCTTTGCCTTTATACTTCATGATAACAAGAGTGCTTAAAAGAGTACTAGTTTCCGCCTTTTCGTTTTTAGCAAAACGCTTTTCAAGTTCGGCAAGGAACGATTTGGCATCAGGCTCATTAGACATTGTACCCCTGAATGATTCTGGAATTGTATGTTTCATGATCATTAGACTCATGCGGTTTGAGCGTTCCCACCTCTCCATCTCCCTCTTTTCATCAAGGGTAGATGTGTCCTTAAGAGTGGCGGGTTTCTCAGTCCGAAGTGCAAGGTCTAGATCCATGCAACCGAGAACAATCATAACGTTCTCTTTCCATTCCTTAAAATTCGTGCCGTTAAGCAATGGGATGCTATTAATATTAGCAGATATTGTAGCAGCAGAATTGTTGACTGAAAGAGAACAAAAAATAATATAAATGATATGCTCTAGGAACTGAAATTAATTAGATAATTAATTTTAAATTTAAATATTAGCAATCCCCATCACAAGATACCTAGCGCAGCATCTAATCTTATCTTTGGACATAAATTAGACTTGCAAGTGGTACTCTTGGTGTGATAATAAAATTTTGATAATAAAATCATGTCGAATATTAAGCCTTTCTTTGGACCGACTTAATACTCACACGAAAAACTTCATAATCATCACAAATTTTATTATCACAAATGTACTTAAATTTCGGCCAAATAATAACCTTCCTTTGGGCCGATTATTATCTGCATGAAATAAGAAAGTACACAATCATCTTAATATATGAGTTAATTAATTTCAACAAGAGAGGCTACTTTGGCAGCATGTTGTGTCAATTAATCAACCCAAATATTAGACATGCTAATAATAAATCAAGAATCTAAAATTAAAATTGGGCGAATTTTTCTGAATCACATGTATATGTGTTATGTATAACGATAATTTTTAAAATTTGTACTCAATCGTTGTGCAATCGCAAAATAGAGTTTATACATCCCATAATACACAATACACATTTTCAAGCCGCAGATCACGACCACCAACAAAAGTAATCTATTTCAAAAATACCCAAATATGTAATTCTAAGAGAACCGATATTGACTCTAATTACATATAAGTATTCAATTACCAAACCTATAATCACATATATGCACTTAATTACCAAAGTCATAGGAAATTCCAAAACTGAATCACCGAAAAAGAAACATATCAAAATTTAATTTGATACTCATGTGATTCGGCTGACTCAAAATTGGAAAGAAACCAATCACAAATAATAACCTTTAGTGACTCTAAAAAAATAAAAAATTTGTATGTTCATTACATACAAGTATTGTATTCCGTATGATTGTTTTTTTTTTGTATTAGTACCAACTCAAATCAACATCAGGTCAATCCCAAAACAAATGATGCAAATAAACTTTGAATCACGTTTTGAACACATTAAACAAAATAAACAAAGCGACGTAACTAGGCAGCAGTCAGAGTGCACTGACTGCACTGAGTCCATATTCATCGCAAATACGATTGAAATAAGCCAAAGTGCTGAATAAAATAAAAAGAAGACAACAAACCGCACCATTCAATATATAGCTAATCGTCAGATTAGCAAAATCCAATCGGCATATGATTTATCACGTTTTCAATCTGAGTTCGTAGTTACGATTGAAAAATAAAAACATCCGATTAAAACTAAATGGTTCTGTGTAGTCATCAATTGCCGATTGAACATGTGAATATAAAAGGAACCCGAATACTCCAAATAATTCAATATGAAGGAGGCTCTGATACCAATTGTTGGAATAAATCCGATAATACTTTAATCTTCATATTGAAATTATCTGGAGAATTGACTAAGCGGAAGCGTACCTGACTCCATTGGAGATGACCTTTAGAGATCCGGGAGACGGAGGCTAGAGTTTGCGTCTTCTAGTTGATACACACCCTCGAGATTATCTCTCTAGCGATGAGATGCAGAAAGACGGAATGACGTGTTCAACTAGGGACCATAACTCCTTATTTATAGAGAGTGCTTAACCCTAATCAACCCATCATTGATTAGGTCAAGCCCATGAGTCTCTACACATTTGGGCCCTATACCTTATTAGATAACTTATTAGCCCACTTAAATTAATATCCATAGAACCACTAATTTTTTTTTTGCCTAAATATAAGATAGTATATAACATACAATCAGTGGCGGAACCAGGACTCGTGACTCGCAGGGGCACAATAACAAAGAAATGATATACTAATCTAGAAAAAAATCATATGCATCACGATTATAGCAATAAACAAAACTATAAAATTTAAATAAAACCACTGTTTTTGGAATGATCTGTTGCACCCATTAAAATCACTTTGTGGAAATTTAAAGTCACACGGTTGGCAAAGACCTTTTCTCAAATAACGTCTCCTCAACTCATCTCTAATATTAACATCATAAGTCTCAATCGGCATAACTTTTCTGTCCAGCACTTTTCTGTCCGAACGCCGTCCGAACACCGGCGTTTGGGGCGGTTCCCGGCGGAATATTTTGATGAAATTTTTTGAGCATGTTCCTCATCAAGTCTAGTTTATCCATACCAAACTTCAGCTCAAAATTCGATCGGGAAGACAGTCAAATAATTCGTTGAAGTTAACTGCGCCAAATTATACATAGAAAAACGCAGTTAACGTCAACGAATTTTTTGACTGCCTTCCCGGTCGAATTTTGACCTGAAATTTGATATGAATAAACTAGACTTGATGAGGAACATGCTCAAAAAATTTCATCAAAACATTCCACCTGGAACCGCCCCAAACGGTGTTGTTCGGACGGTGTTCGGACTGGGAGGTGCTGGACCTGAGAATTTTCCAATATATATATATATATATATATGCAGGGGCACGGGCACCCCATAGCCTTAGGGTGGGTCCGCCCCTGCATACAATTAAACCCAATAAATAATGTGCCGTGAATAATACATGTAGTATGAGTCAAATAGTCTTAACGGGAGCGGCTGCAGAAAAGGAGTTGCGGCCGTCGTTTCGCTGTTTGTAGCTGTTTCTGGTCCTTGCATCCATCGGTGACTGGAGTAAATCGCCGGTCGCCCATCAACCTTATGTTCAGCTGCCGCACCGGAGTAGTGGTCGTCCGTCCCAAGAGTCGCCAGAGCTCCCCCAATCCCCCCTAATCTTTATCGTTTGCACTCTTGGCCATTGACAGAAAGGACTCAAAGCAAAGCTACATTGATGAAGTATACAATTTTAGTTGCGTATCTCATCAGAGCATGTTCATGAACAACAATTTGATATGATGTAGGGTAATTTAGAATTTTGAATCAATTTTATTTATTTATATTTCATTTAGTGGGTGTGTATAGCTATTTGGAGGTTGTTAATAAAATTTCCGTTATTTTTAATATTGTTTTGTATCCGATCCTAAAACGCGCTTTGCCATTTGATAATATACATTATTTTTTTCATTGCATACCAAAAGTAAATATTATTTTATTTGTAACGTTGGAAATATGCTTTTTCCGTATTCAGTTTGAATTTTGAAAAGTATTTTTATAATTTGACAATTTGTCATACTTTAAGAAACTTTTACAGTTTTATCCACAGGCCACAGCCCATAAAGAAAGAAACTTTTACTCTGTTCACATGGTATACTACGAGTAGTCGAGTACTATACTGTTCTCCATATCACCGTATGGGACTATGAGATTTTTTAATCTTTTTAATTAACTATAACTCTAACAAGAATCATCAGCCGCGCCATGGAGTCGCGTGAGCATGCGTCTATCCAGCTCCAATGAGCGTGCGTTTTCGGGGCAGAAAAGATTCCGACCTGCCAACATCACACACAGGAGCTTTACTTTCTTCCCAATTTCTCCTCCGCCTTCATTCATTCGTTGCCCATTTGCCCTCCAAAGAATTCCGAGCTGATCTCTTCACATCCAGCCTCGTGTTAACCCTAATCTCCTCCATGTCTACCTCTCCTCTCACAGGTTTCTTTCCTATTTTGGTTCTTTGACGTCATGCGTGACGTGTCATGTTCGTATCATGTGTAATGTGATGCTCCGTATGTGGCTATTTACATGTAAAACGTCCCTAGTTTCAGATCTGCCTCTTGGGTTTGGTTTTCTTGATGGTTTGTTGAGTAATTCTAATAAAGTTTGTTTTTTTGTGGAGATGGGATATGATCACTTCGTAATTGTGGAGGCCCCTTTGATTATGATTATTACTTGTTAGAATACAGAGTTTCTTGATTATGCTTGCTTAGGTTGTTTGTGCAATTTTGAATAGTCAATGCCAAACATGGGCTGCTGTTTTTTGTCTTGTCTTGCAGGTTACAGTTGACTCATTGAATTTGTAAGCTTGAAGCCAAGTGTCATTCTTGATTGGTTTCACTGGTAACAAAGCCATTGCCTGTAAGGATGAACTATATGCGCTGATATGCTCTATACCTATTGCATTGCAATGAGAACATTCTTTTTGGTGGAAATTAGGCTATGTTTGCATTCGCTTTTGCTTATCAAAAGTGATTTATGTAAGAGATTATTGGAAAAGTGATTTATTGTAAAAGTATGTAATGTTTGGGGATAAAAGTGATTTTAATTAAAATGTAAAAGTTGGAGTGTTTGATAATTTTTTTTTGATGTAGTTTTTTTTGTAAAGTACAAAAGTGCCCATTTCATTCCATCATTTGCAATGGAGCCAAAGATTCATTATTTTTTGGCTTGAGATTATGATGGAATAAAGCAAAATGGCTCACTAAACTGTTTGCGCTTCTTTGTCATGAAGCAACAGTCAGTCCATGCAATTTTGGACGGGATTTTCACTATGGGTCATCCGGAAACAGTCTCTCTGTGCTTTAGTACAGGGGTAAGACTGCGTACATCCGACCCCCCCTTACCCCACCGTAGGTGGGAGCCTTTGCGGCACTGGGGTAAATGAAAATGAATGACAAAACTGCCCATTTCCTTTAATATTTTAGTGTTTGAGTGTCGCAATTTGCCCGTTTCTCATCTTTCACTCCTACCCTGGGATTACCAATACCAACTAGCGCCGGAGTTCCTCTCAACAAAAGCAATCGGCAGAATCAATCCTTGCTCCAGCCTTGGAGAATGCCGCAGCAGCCTTGGAGAATTATATTGTACATGGAGGTGATTCTCATTCCGGCATCCAAAATCCCCATGGATCTTGATCTCTTCCCACAGAATATATATGTATGTATATATATAATATACAATATTTATGTTTATCAGTGTATGTGTGTGGGGGAGAAAGGGGAAGCAAGGAGTGCAGGGAAGTCCGATGCATAGGATAAGTGTAGGAGAGATGGAAGGGTATTTTGGGTTTAATTGGGTATGAAATTATCCATAATGTTGGAGCTATTTACAACATTACCTAGAAGCATTGAAAAGCACCTCTTGGGCTGCTTTTAGATTTTTGCTTAAAATGGCTTAAAATAAAACAGAAGTTGGTGTTAGCAAACACCACTTTTAGCTTTTCCAAAGCTAAAAGCTCAAAAGTGCTTAAAAAAAGCATTTGCAAACATAGCCTTAATGCTTGTTTTTCTTATTTGTTTGTTTTACCCAATCAATAGTAGTGTTTTAATATGCTGAATTGGTTTGTCCATGTATCTTTCCAAGTTTAGCTAAAAATGCATTTTTATTTAGCTATTTTTGAGTAGGGAATTAGTTTCAGATATAGCAATAGCAAAATGCCTGACACAGATGAATCCAAGTTTTAACTATAATGGAATTATTATTTCTTACATCAAGTTCCTTAGTTCATTTGGCATAGATGGGTCAAGGGGGTCATGGCTCTTTCATTCTAGTCTGGATAAGCACAACAGAATCTAACTTTAGACTCCTTTTCAAGATAGTCCAGAAACAATCGTCCTTACACCAAATTTGCTTTTCCTATATACATTTCACACTAATCACGATTTAGATATGTTTATTGGCAGTGATTTTGATGACATGTTATTATTTTGCTCGACGTAAATTGCAAGTGTAACTTTAAACACTGTTATGCATGGCAATACTACTGCATTGAGTAGTTATAGTTAAGCAGACACACTCAAACTTGATGATCAAGGGGTTTGAAAGCTTGTATATAGATGGATGGATAACTTTTTGCTATAAATGCAAACTATTAACAAACTTCAAATTCCGCAGCATTGCAAGTCTAACAATCTTTTACAGTGAGCTTACTAATTTGTGAACATAACAACATGCTACAAAAACGTTTGACTTTCACAGGGAGGGTGTGATCATCAACTTTAGCAGCTCTTCTCATAATGGATCCAGAAGACGGATTTCCTGCAAAAGGTGAGATACTCCTCACAATCGGGCTTTGTTGGTGAACTTTAAAAATTGAAGGGAAAGTTTATATTTTTCTAAGTTCTAACCATACGGGTTTCCTTGAGCCACTCTCTATGCTTGTATTTTGTGACTTTTTCACCAGAGATGATTAATGTTTGGTTTGTCTTGATTTCTCCTTAATGCACCCAGTGCCTAGTGTGTATAAATTCTTCTTCTACATTTTCTTCATTTTTTGCCTTTCTTGTGGCAGGAATCTTTGACCAATTTCTGCCATGGTATTACTGCTAATGTGCTTACTTTGCCAAGGAAAAGTGGGAACCAATTGTCCTGGCCATTATTCTATTGCCTCCCTTTCAAAAAATTTTCAACCATAAAATGTAAGATTGTTTTTAAAAATTTATTCCCAATTTGTCTTTTAAAGGAACAAACTCTTACTCCGTATATCTTTTGACATAGTTTTAGACTTTTAGTACTAAGGAAGGTTATTCTTCTCTCAGCCTATACTAACTTGGAATGATGTCTCTCAAGAACAACACTAACCAAACTTTAATCTAAAACCATTGTGATCAGCCACTGGACCAAGAAATAATCTCCAGTGAACATGTACAAAAGTCTCCATCCTTCATTTTTTCACCTGGGATCTTGGTTACTACTCTCTTTTTCGCTGTTCTTCTCATTGTGAACTATATATTGTCTACTATAGGCACACATCCTTCTAAGAATGCGCTTCATCATTGCACACATTTTCTTCATCGGACTATTTATAAAAAGACCATTCCAAAAATGAATTCAGTCTAATTGAGGTGTTACTAATTTATTTCTTTAGTCTTAGAGGAACATATTCGGTTCGCGTGGACAATCGATCTCTTTTCTCTCTCTTTTTCTTTTACTCGTATCTTTTATCTTCATTATCTTTCTGTTTTCTTATGTTAATTATATCTTTTATCTTTCTTATGTTCTTTTATGTTTTTATCTTTTACCTTTCTTATGTTCTTATGTTATTTTTATCTTATATTTATCTTACCCCATTTTATCTTACCTTATCCTTTTATTTTTCTTATATTTCTTCTCTATTTGGCTCTGATATCATGGATCGTTTCTTGTTAGCCGACCCCAAAATGTTTTGGGAATAAGACTTGGTTGTTGTTGTTGTTGTTGTAGTCTTAGAAGAACATCATGATCACTGAACTCTTTTTGCTGCTCTCCATTTTAAACAACCTGCTTTGATCATTGTGCCCCATGAATTGTCATAATTCTTTGTATAGTAGATCTTATGTTTGTGAGTGCTTGATCAATTACTTGTCGATATCTCTATCCCATGATTCCCATCCAATTTGAACCCTCTTTGTCTCTTAGCTTTAACAGTGCCAAATTTCACCCCATGTACTTGATTTTATAAAGTCCCAAGTCCAAACCTAAAATGTCATGATTTTAGTTTTGTTTCTGCCTTTCCACTTTCCACTTTCCACATTCTTAGAAGGATGGTTTACTCATGTGTAACTTGGTGGTTATGTTTCCATGATCAATGATGCATGCAATGCAGCATTTTTTTTATGATGATGAAATTGAAGGCCTATGTGTGAGCGATAAAGAAAGGTTTGAATGTCTGACTGGAATGTCTTTTCCAACACTAAGCCAAACTCTTTGTTGCCTCTGCAATTTGAAATGTTTTTGAATTTTTTCTGCTTAATTTTTGTGTTTAGTTCATCATTGTGCTTTCTTTTTGATTACCTGTACTGTAAGGTCATAATAGACTCTTTAATTGTGAGATTTATTTTTGCGATTCATCCCTTATAAAGTTGTCTCAACAGACTCCTTTTAAGTTTTAACTTTTTGGAGATTGAGTTTTCACTCCAAGTTTCAAATGCAATGGAATTAGGACTGCAATGGAGGTCAAGGTTTTTGGTCTCTTACACATGGGATCAATTCTTATCTTACAATTTTGTTATGTAGGACCCACATATTTCCCATATTATTTTAACTTTCATTATTCAGTAACCCTATCCCACTTTTCATCCACTCTTTCTTCTCGAATACAGTATGAAGTCCATAAGATAAGTCCACATTTTTACCTCTGTTGATCTCATTATTCCCTACATTTCCCTGCATTTATATTACAACATCTAATCTTTGTTCCCAAAAGATTTTGAGGTTGACTAACATGAATCGATCCATGATATCAGGGTCATATTTCGATTCATGTCATGTGATTTGACTAAGTGATACTGTTGCCCATCACGTGCTTACCATAACACCCTCCTTTACCCTTGCTTAGGAGTTAGGACAAGCATGATACCAAATTAAATTAGTTAGTCGAAGTTTTGGCTGCATTTATTTAAATTAAATTAGTTATCTTCTCTTTATCTCTCCATGCCACAAAGTATTGACCTCCTAAAATTTACTCTCGATTCGGAGATGCTCTTAAGCTCGCATGAGTGGAGGTGGGTGATTTTTTGAAAGAAGAAAGCCCAGTGTATGTTTAGCATAAAGTATAGGTCATCCAAGTTTGTTATAAATGAAAGTTGTAAGCGTTATTTTACATGGTAATATAAGACAAGAAATGCAAAGTGTTTTAATGTAAATCTGTGTCATCGCCTTTTCTAGATGTGCAAAATTTCTCAATTTAGGCATGAATCTCTTCGGAATTGACTATCTTGTGTTCACGCATTGCCCTCTATTGCCATAAGGGAGAATAATATACTAAATCAAAGCTTCACTTTCAAGATGGAGAGGACACATGTATATTTCTTGTCTGGCTATTCAATGGAGGGAAGGCCTATGGACGGATGCTTTCAGTTGTCCAGTTCCCTAAAATGAGAAATCTGGATCATATATTCATATGGAGGAGAAACTGCAACTTTTATGAAGGCTAAATACATTTCACTTTTAACTAAAACCCCATCAAGAAAATGGCATAAGAGTCCGTATAGGCACTAATGACAAAATCCTTTATAACCACTCCTTTGTAAACTTGTATAATCCGAACTGAGTTTACTGTCTTACCAAATCACACAAAACTTAAGGTTTCATTTGAATAACATTAAATTTTTTTAAAAGAATATAATCATGATTATTAGGAAATTTTAATCGAGTTCATTTTGTAATTATGGTGGAATGGCAGTTTTGAATAAGTAAGGGATATTTGAGACTTTCGGGATGAGTCGAAGCAAGACTGAGAATATGAAGTGAAAGTTTGTAGAGGTAGAAGTAATGGTAATAGTGGGATTACCTTAGATGGTAAGGAGATAACGGTCAGTGATAAATAATATGTTCCGTTTGCTAGGCTCCATAATTCAGAAAGACAATGAGGTAGATAGAGAGATGTATCACATAGAATCAGAACAAGGTGGATGAAATAAAGTGCATCAAGATTTCTCTGTGATTAAGATATGCTGACTAGACTAATGGGTTAGTTTTTCAAACATCAATTACCCTGGATTACTATATGGCGTACAACGTTAGACGGCGAAACAATGTCACATTCAAAAGATTGATGTGACTGAGGTGCGCATGTTGTGTTAGATGTGCGAACATACTAGAAAAGGATGCTTGAGAAGTGAGACAATTAGACAAAAGTTGGGAGTAACACATATTGAATATAAAATGTGAGAGGCTTGATTGCGTTGGTTTGACTATGTGCGTAAAAGACTGAGTGATGTACTTGTTAAATGAGTTGAGAGGTGAGGAGAAGAGGCTGGGAGGAAAGGGAGGGGAAGACGCAAACAAATATGAATTAGAGAAGTCAAGATTAATATGTTACTTTTTGGTTGGATGAGAATATGACTTTGGAGAAAGCAAAATGGAGGCAAAATATTTGGGTGGAGAGTTATCTAATTTCATCTACTCTATCTTTGTATACTTTTTACTCAATATCTTTCTTGTGTTCTTTATCTTTTTATCCTTTTTATCATCATCTTATCTTTTTTACGTAGTTATTTTTATGTTTCTTTTTATCTTATGTTATCTTTTTACCCCTTTTAAATTTGACTTCAAAGTTCAAACACTTTTGGAACTAAGGATGTTTTAATTGGTCTGAAATTTTCTGGTCTGGTTTATTTAAGTGTGATATGGGTTTGGTGTGGATTGACTTGGTCTAGTCTAATATATGTCTGTTCTATGTGTATTTTATAACTGTCAAAGTTTGGTTTGTTCTAGTTTGGTCTGGGCTGATCTCTTTAAGTCTGATTTGGTATTATCTCAGATTGAAACCACTCCTGGGAGCTATTAAATAAGTTTGAATGTATCAAATAAGCTCTCCATCCAAACCCGATTTGTTTTTTACTAAATAAAGCTAATCACTAGCTTATAAGTTAGCATAAGGCATGACATAATGGATCATCAGTTCATAGGATGCTGATTGATTTGAATCACATCACTTTTACAGTGTTAACTATGTGATTTGAAATTGACGTTTAAGTGTTTAACTTAATGACCTGATTGTTTCTCTAAGTTATCCTACACCCTTCAACTTATTTTTTAGATCACTTTTCAATTCTCGATGTTCAAGACAAAGTAACTTATTATCAAAGGTTTTTATTTAGATTGTTGGCAATACGCTTTTCGTATTAGGACTGTATTTACATCTGTTGTTTCAGTTTCAGGTATTCAAAGTCTTTCTTCCAGTGTCCAGAGTAATCCAGGGAAAATTTCAGACGATTCATCCAGAAGTCCAGACTCACTACAAAAGTCCCTGAATTCTGGGGTAGTGAAAGATCTTTCTCAGCTGAACTTTAATAAGGAAAAGAATAAATTGGCTTCTTTTACATGCAAAATGGCTGAGCATACGGCAAAGCCAATCAAGAACGTTATCAAGAGTCAAGACCCAAAAAAACCTACATCTTTAAGCACCAAAGATCATCATGCTTCAAGAAAGAAGGACAGGAAGGGTGGAAACCCTGTTCGGATACCTCCAGCCTATTCTGCAGATGCAAAGTGTTCAAATTCATGGATATGTAAAAACTCCGCCTGTAGAGCAACTGTTTCAATGAATGACACATTCTGTAAGAGGTGCTCTTGCTGCATCTGTCACTTGTTTGACGATAATAAGGATCCAAGTCTTTGGTTGGAATGTACATCACAGTCTGGTCAAGAAGAGTCTTGTGGCTTAACATGTCATATCGAGTGCGCTCTCCAGCGTGGGAAGGTGGGGGTTGTTGACCTTGGGCAACTAATGCAGCTAGATGGTAGCTACTGTTGTGCTTCTTGTGGCAAAGTTTCAGGCGTACTGAGGTATGTTCTTTATCCCCTTGACATTACTACATGAATCTTCAGTCTCCACCAAACCTCTATACCAATGATGCTCAAGTGGCTCTATGAACTACCCTTGTCCCTGAAACATATAAATTAACTTCTTTTATCGATATATCATATCGATATATCATACCCCTTCAGAATTGCATTTATAAGATTGAATCTCGCTAGTTGTCCCTTTTTTACTCCCGCTGTCCTAGAATAAGGTTCTTGTACACTTTTCCAGCGGTCAACTTAAGTCTCTTTTGAATCTCTGGTTTTGTATAATGAACCTTTATAGATTTATTGTGTTTGATTTCAGTGGTTCGGTAGAGATTTTACTGTAGTTTGTAACTATGTGAATGTTAATTATTAATAGTAATTTAAATATTATCAAGGAGAGTTAACTTCATCATAGTCGATCATAGTAAATGTAACTGAGAATCTTGATATGGGGCAGAGGGAATACATGGTTATGGCCGCAAAGAGCAAATTGATGCATGTACTTTTGAGTTTGTATTATATGTTTTAGGCATAGTGTGCTGAATTTTGAATTCTACACTTCTTGTTTTGGTAGTGATTATGAGTCATTTTACTGTTATATGACTGATTTTTTTCAGACACTGGAAGAAGCAACTTCTTATTGCAAAAGATGCTCGTCGTGTTGATATCTTGTGTTACAGAATATACTTGAGTTACAAACTCCTGGATGGATCTTCCAGATTTAAAGAACTACTTGAAATCATTAGAGATGCCAAAGCCAAATTGGAAACCGAGGTTGGTCCTCTTGATGGAGTTTCAGCTAATATGGCTCGTGGCATTGTCAGCAGGCTTCCTGTTGCAGGCGATGTGCAGTCTCTCTGTTCTCTTGCTATCGAGAAAGTTGATGAATTGCTAGCCACAAAATCTGATGAAGTCCCTAATTGGAGAGGTACTGTCCCTTGTCTGATATTCCTGTACCTGTTGAACTATTGGTTTTATACATCATAGAAGTTGAAAGAGTGGTTGGCTGTTTTTCTTAAACAATTCTTTTTGCCTTATCTTTTAGAGGAGGGTTCACTGCCAGCCGCGTGCAAATTCCTTTTCGAGGAAGTGACTTCCTCTTCAGTTGTGATTGTGTTGATAGAAGTATGCAGTTCATCATCTTCAGAACATGTCCAAGGCTACAAGCTTTGGTACTGTAAGGCTAGGGAAGACAGCGACACAAAAGAGCCCGCTTGTGTCATCCCCAGAACCCAGCGAAGGGTTTTGATATCAAATTTGCTGCCTTGCACTGAATACTCATTCAGAATCATATCTTACACTGAGTCTGGTGACTTGGGTCACTCCGAGGCTAAATGCTTCACAAAGAGTGCTGAGATAATAACCCATAGAAATTTGAACTCATTAGCTCGAAATCATCAAGGGAAAGACATTCTAGAAGAAACCACAAAAATAGAGTCAGATTCTGGATTCAAGGTCCGAGACCTCGGGGAAGTCTTTCGACTTGCATGGGCCCAACAAGAACGCTGTTTGGACGGCTTCTGTAGCGCAGAAATGGAAAAGTTTTGTGAAGCGTGTAATACTGTCAAACCAAACATAATACATGACTGTAAGCCTTCAGTGTCTCGCCAGCTGGACTTAAATGTTGCCACTGTTCCTGATTTGAATGAAGAGCTAATCCTCCCCGTGGAATCTTCTAGAGACGAAGACAATGAGAACAGAAGTGGCGAATCCCAAAGCTATGGTGAGGCAACAGTGTCTCGAAAGAGAGTGGCTGCTAGCAATTCGGGCAGCACCCTGGTGGCCGGGGGTTCACCTTTCGGCCACTTGGACGAGAACTTTGAGTACTGTGTCAAGATAATCCGGTGGCTGGAGTGTGAGGGTCACATTGACAAAGACTTCAGATTAAAGTTGCTGACTTGGTTTAGCCTGAGGTCGAGCGTGCAGGAACGCAGGGTGGTCAGCACATTTATCCAAACACTCATTGATGATCCAAATAGCTTAGCGGGTCAGCTGGTTGATTCGTTCTCGGACATTGTTTCTAATAAGAGGGCTCGCAACGGTTTTTGCAGCAGCCTTTGGCATTAAGTTTCCATCTAGACTGATTATATCCCTAATTCTCTCTGTACATGCCATTTTTTAAAAGGGCGACTTGCCATATTTTAGGTGATTCATTCGTATAGTGGACAAGCCTGTCCAGCTAAACACATTCTTGCTATTTGTTTGTTAAGCAACTTGATTCCTACTGACACGGAAATATTTTCAAATTCAAGAAATTTTACACTACAGGAAACATGTTTTTTAGTTTTTTTTTGTAATTTTCTAGAGCATCTGTCTCTGCTCACCCAAAAAGTATGGACAGTGATCCTTCTATATAAGGGTTCACACTTCACACGGTCTGGACAGCCTCGCCAAGAATGTTTGGAACTTCAACAGCCCATTTGGATAGAGTGAATTTAAATGAACTCATTTAATTGAATCTAGCTTTGTTTAAGATTGGTTGAATGCAGTTGAACCAAGTGTTTATTATTTAGTTAAATGCAGTACATATTTGTTTATTATGTAGGACCAGTATAAAATTAACTGTCCACATTTAGTTTATTTGGGGTTTTTATAGAATCTAACATCTTGAGTTCTTAACTCAGCTCTGAAGTGAAGATGGTTAAATGTTAGAAAACAGTTTTGTCAATTTAGGACCTAAAAGAGAGATGAACTATCAATTGGAGATCTAAAATATGAAATGGTCAAAATTTTATGAATTTTAATATATTTTTAAGACCTAATTTTTCATGAATTATAATATATATATATATATATATATATATATATATATATATATATGATAATTGTAAATATTATTTAGTGTTGTTAAACTAATAAACTATTGCGAAGAAAAATCCATCAGAAGCAACAGATTCAATCATTTGGGTCATGTGGGTCATGTATTGACACATTTCATTTTTCAAGTATGTGAATTTAGGCATGGCAATGGGTCAGGGTAGGGATGGACCCGGGCCGGTTCCGGTTCCGGGCTCGGGCGGGCTATTTTTGCAAAATGTTAGGCCCGGAACCGGCCTGGGTTGATACCGGGTCCGGGCCTAACCGGGCCGGGCCCGGGTCAATGTGTATTTTTTTTTGCTTTCTTGTTATCCCCCAACCCCCCCCCCCCTCACCCCCACCCCCAAACCTCCCTAAAACACCCAGCCCTACCCTAGGAAAAGAAAAAAATTGAAAAAACAAAAAAAAAATGACTCGGGCCCGACCCGAACCGCCCAGGCCGGTTCGCCCAAAACTAGGCCCGAGCCCGACCCGCACGACCCGGCTAAACGGGCGAAAAGCCCAGAACCGGCCAACCGGTCCTGGTCCGGTCCGGGCCCAAACAGTAGCGGTTCCGGGCCGGTTCCGGGCCGGCCCAGCTCGGCCCAGTCCATCCCTAGGTCAGGGCAGGGCGGGTACTGCGAGACTCTGACCCGCCCCGTGACTTGACGGGCGGGTCCGCTCCGCCGTAACCTAATTAGATAGTATGTATTTTTATTTGTGAGAAGTTGTTACCAATTGAATCTACATAAAGTTTATCTTTAAATAATTATTAAAAATTTATATATTAAATCAAATTCATGATACGTTAGAAATTTCAAAAGTTAAGGAAAAATCACTTAGACTTGAATAGTTAATCTATTTAATTATATTAATACTTGAATATATGTATTAAAATGCGATATATAAAGAAGACATTGATAATCCGTCGTTCATCTCGATCTAATATATATATATATATATATATATATATATATATATATATATATATATATATATATATATATATATATATATATATATATATATATATATATATATATATAGAGAGAGAGAGAGAGAGAGAGAGAGAGAGAGAGTAAGGATCAAATGAGAAGAGTGTTTATCGTAAGAAGTGAGAATGCATCTGGTGCGTTCATATATATATATATATATGTGTGTGTGTGTGTGTGTGTGTGTGTGTGTGTGTGTATGTATGTATGTATGTATGTATGTATGCAGTGGCGGAGCCAGATGTTTGTCCAAGGAGGGGCAAACCAAAGACTAAAAATTTTAAAGTTCGTGTCCAAAATATAATAAAAACAACAATAGCGTAATAATTTAACAAAAATTTATAGTTCATTACATACTACTTGATTTACTTCTGCAACCTAGGCAAATCAATCCTACGAGTTTTCATATTTTGAAAATGCTGCATAATAGCTTCATTATCAATTGCTTGAAAAATGTCTCTTTCGATGTAGCATACTAAGCAATCCGTAAGATAGTCATCTCCCATCTTATTGCGAAGATCTGTCTTGATAATATTCATCGCTGAGAAAGCTCTTTCAACTGTGGCTGTTGCAACTGGTAACACTAGAGCCAACTCAATAAGACGATAGACCAAGTGAAAAGATTTGTGAATTGTAAGCTCAACCATCTTCTTAGACACTTCACCAATACTTTGTAAAGTGGAAAATGCTTCATTTCCTCTCATCTCATATATCCAAACTTGGAGTTGTTCTTTAAGCTCCATTTGCTCAACAACTGAAAAATCAGATGAATATAATGTTGGAAAAATGTGTTAAAAATTGCATTAAATGGTCATTTTGGGGCAATTATTTGAGTGGGGTCCACTTCCGATTTGGGTCGAGTCAAAGTGGTTTCGGATTTTCCTTGTTAAGGGCTACAATTCGATATATGGTACGCTCAAAACGGATAACGGGTGAATGAGAAATTGATTCTCGAAGTTCGCTCGTTGTAATGGAAAAATTGGGAAAATGATGAGTTTCTAGTGTGTTTTATCCCACACCGAAAAACTCAAGGGATTTTCACCCCCTTTTAAAGGGAAGCCTCTTTTAAGGAGTTAAGATTCCTAAAGGGAAAGACTCTCTCTTACGCGCAGGGGGGGGGGGGGTGCCGATCAAATCTCCGAAACGGAGAAGAAAAACCGCGACTCATTTCTGGGGGGGGGGGGGGGGGGGGATTCCAGAAGAGCTCCGAACAGAAACCCTCCAAGGGGGGTTCTGTTGGCTTCGGACAGAACCCCTCCAAGGGGTGTTCTGTTGGGCTCTTCTGTCACGCATTTCTTCCGTTACAACTATTAATGCCCAACGTTCTTCTCTTTTAATGCAGCGTTAAATGGACAGTTTATGGACGATTCAATTCCCAACGGACTGGTCATTGATGTCCAACGTTCAGGTCCATTAACACCCCATTTAACTCACAACAAATTCTCCTATAAATAGCTGGCAGGTGCTTTGCAACAGACACACGGTTTGACAACGCACATCACTTTCCTCACGTTTTCTTGAGCTAAAAACTCTTCCAGCTATTCCCAAAAATTCCTCTGTGTTCATACTCAGTTCTCGTTCGCTGGAACTCTTGTTTGTGTGCTCAAACATTTGTTCGTAGTAATCGTATCCTGGGAAACGATTGTTGCAACGCTCCTAGCACCGTGGGAGGCAACAAATACGTTTTAAGGAAATCGTGCGTAGCACGAGCTTTGGCTAATTCTGCTTCATCTCCTTTCTTGGTTTTTCTCTAGTCATTTTATTTAATTAATTTATTTTAATTAATTTTCTTTATTTTCCGAAACACACCCAACATATAACTCCGCAAGACTGAGTAGCTTTGACTCACAGAAATTGGAAAATTTATCTTTAGGATCAAGGCAAGCTAAACAAGCGAGTAAATCTGTATTTGACTCACTAAAGCGATTCTCCATTTCGTAAAAATGGATCACTAATAATATCCCATTCATGTGTACTTTCTGTTCGAGCTCTCTTGCCCCTCTCATTCCCCTCATCTCTAGCAATATTTTCATTTGACGCAGTGGCATTTTCAACACTAGAGATAGACTGATTAGGAACAATTGAAGAACTAACACCTTCAATCAAAGACCTCTTAGTCATAATTACAAATTTATCCAAACTCATACTCCTAAATTTAACAAAAATAAGTATGAATTAAAAATGTTCCTTATACAAATAGCATTAAATTGCATCTAGAACTGAGATTTGAGGATTCACACAAATAATTTCTGACTTTTCGTTAGGGATGAGAGCAAATAATTAATATGGGCATAAATTGGCAGATGAGAAACTTACTTGAAAATTGCAGAATCTGAGAACAAATGGGGAGAAGTGAGAACTAACTGGAGAAGGAAGGTAGATTTGTGTTGGGGAGTAAAGCCGGAGAGGGAGCGGGCGATGCTGCTTCTCAGTTCTCACGTTCGCTGTCTGCCTACGTTCTCAACTGCTCGATTCACTTTTTTTGGCGGAGTGGGAAGGGACTGCCGACTGCCTAGGTCTTTTGTTAATGAAGCTTTGAATTTTTAACCCACTTAATGGCTTTAGACTTTAGTGATTACGTTTTGAATTGTTATTTTTTTCATTTTTGGGCTTAGGCTTTAGGATTGTCTAGGTGGCTTGGGCTTTAGAATTGTTTTTTTTTTCATTTTTCTACTTATGCCCGTTTTTTTTTACTTAGCCTTAGACTAGATGCTCATTTGTCTCATTGACTCATTAATCCCCTTTTATTCTATATTTCATTTTTTTTTACTTTTTCTGAAAATACTTTTTTATTTATTTTAACACTTCATCTTAAAATAACCTTAAGTTGTACTTATTGTTTTTAAAATTTAAAAAGAAGCCGGGACAAGAAACATATTATAAGTAATAATAGTAAAAAAAATTAGTCGGAGCGGGGGCGCTTGCCCCCCCCCCCCCCCTTGCCCCCCCCCCTAGCTCCTCCACTGTATGTATGTATGTATGTATGTATGTATGTATGTATGTATGTATGTATGTATGTATGTATGTATGTATGTATGTATGTATGTATGTATGTACGTACGTATGTATGTATGTACGTATGTATGTATGTATATTGATATATTATAAGATCAAAGAATTTATGATTTATTGTATACACACATATGTATGTTGAAGTATATTTGTAGTACTACCTCCGTCCCTTAAAACTTTGCCAAAGTTGACCGGCACGGAGAATAATAAAGTAAAAACTGTGTGATTGAGATTTGTGCATAGGAGAGAGAAATAATAGAAACCACAAAATAATTAATTAAAAGGGAAAGTGGCAAAGTTTTTTGGGACGTTGCAAAAAGAAAAGATGACAAAGTTTTAAGGGACGGAGGGAGTATAATTAAAGAAAAAGTATGTATATACTTATATATTGAGCGGGTCGGGTCGAGGACTCGAGGCGGGGCGGGGCAGCACAGGTCAATATATACTAATACTCGGACCTGTCCCATTGTATAGGCGGGGTGGGGCGGACCAGACTCGCCCCAAATGTCTCGGGCCAGGGCAGGTCATTGCGGGCCGGGTTTTTTTAAACACATATGTTAGCACTTTTTCTAAGGAATCTTGAATATATAGTAAAGTTTTGAAATAATATTTTATATTAACAATATTAAATTGTGATACAAAAACAATAAAAGGGACAATTGGACACAATTACATTTTTTTAATCTCGAATTTATAATTTATTTTTG